GCCAGTCCATCTTGCTGGGGGGTCTTCCTCTTTTTCTCTGACCCTCCACCTTACCAAACATGATACCCTTCTCCAGTGACTCCTGACAATACATCCAAAGTATGAGAGAAAATGGTGGAATCCCCCAAATTATCGCCCTTAGAGATCCTTCAGGTCTAGAACTGAACTGACCCCCCAGTTCAACTTTTAGTCAAACAACAGACAGGTCTATACAATTCACAATAACATCTTTGCTATTTGTCTCGGGATTCAGCTCTGAAGGCAAGAAGGGAGAAGGGAAACAGTAAATTCAAGGAGGCAGTGAGAAGAGTGCCACTGTATTGTGAGGCCGCAGTCAATGTTATGAAACATACTGTGTATGAGCTGTTAAATGGAAAATAAATTTGCTCTGTAAACTTTCATCCAAATCACAATAAAAAGTTTAAAAAAAGGGAGAAAGACATTTCCAAATACATGAAAACTGATTGTTAGCAGAGCCCCCTATAAGAAATACTTAAAAGGGGCCCTTCTTCCATCCTATAAGGAAAGGACACACAGCAGTAGCTTGAATCCACACAAAAAGTAAAGCACAGCCATGAAGGTAAACATGTAGGTAAACAGCAAGATCGTATAAAAGAGTTTGCAACTGTTTTCTTCTCCCATCTAATGTAAAAGACAAATTCATTAAAGCCACAGTTATAAAACAGTGTTGATAAGCTTATACTATAGAGTTATAATTTGTTATAACTTGTATGACAATAATAGAATAAAGGAGATGGAAGGGAAGATATCTTTATTGGAACAAAGTTTTTGTATACTGTTGCAACTACACCAAAAGCTGATGTTGAGTCACAATGCCCTGGTAGGACAGAGCAGAACTGTTCCTAAGTTTTCAAGGCTGTAAAGCTTTATGGAAGCCGACGGACACATCTCTCTTCCATGGAGCAGCTGTCAATCTATTGATTAGTGGCCCATTGCTTAAACCTTTGCACTCCCAGGGCTCCTTACTATTTGAAAAGTGTTGTTGTTAAGTGCCCTCTAGCCAGTTCTGGCTAATAATGGCCCTGTTGCTTAGAGGTTGCAAGTCGGGCTGCTAATCTCACCATCAGTCATTCAAAACTACCAGCAGTTCCGTGGGAGAAAAATAAGACTTTCTTTCTGTTCCTATAAAGATTTACAGCCTCGGAAACCCTATACAGGCTCACTATGAGTTGGAACCAACTCCACGGCACATAATCACCATCAACTTCCAAAGGATTTCCAAGGAGCATTTGATGGGTTTGAACAACTGACCTTGAGGTTAGTAGTCCAGTGTTTATCCTATAGCGCCACACCAGGGTTCCACTATTAAAATTACAGTAGCAGATGGTTTTAAATTAAAGGACTTACTGTAACCATCACAGCAAACACAAAGAACATGATTAGAAAATCTACATAGTAAAAGAAACCAAGGGGCCAAGTGGAGAGGACAGAAGGCCAGCGGTATTTGGGGAGCTAGAGTCTATGGAATGCTGAGTTAGACAAGGGGCATTGTTGTTGTTAATGTCATGGAGTTGATTCCGACTCATAGTGATCCTCTATAGGGTTTCCAAGGAGTGACTGGTAAACTTAAACTGCTGACCTTGTGATTCAAACCGACCTTGCAATCCAGAGCATTAACTCACAGCGTCATACCTGAGCATACTGTCTGGCAAAAGCATTGTTAAGAGTGAACAGAGCAGCAGAGCGGCAGGAGCTGAGGCTGACACTAGACCAAGAAGGCTAAGGAATGATCTTTGTTCCTAAGGCATTGTTGTTGTTAAGTGCCATCAAGTCCATTCGGACTCACAGCAACCTAGTACGGGGTTCCACAAGGAGCAGCTGGTGAACTTGCGGTTCAAACAGACTTTGCAGTCCAGCACATTAACCCACAGAGTCTGGTATTAGGGAAATGCAAATCAAAACCATGAGATGTCACTTCACATCCTGGTGTTAATGTTGTGAAATGTGAGTTGGTTCTGACTCATAGCGACCCTGTATAGGGTTTCCAAGGAGTGGCTAGTGGGTTTGAATCACCAACCTTGTGGTTCAAACACACCTTGCAGTCCAGTGCTTATCCTACAGATACATGGACTCTTCATATCCAGTAGGATGTCTATCATAAAAAAAGACAACAATAAAAAATGTTGGCAAAGATGTGGAGAAACTGAAACCCACAAGCATTGCCGGTGATAATATAAAATGATGCAGCTGCTTTGGAAAACAGCTTGGCAGCAAAATAGTACCCAGAACTACCATAGGACCCAGCAATCCTACTCCTAGATATATGCCCAGGCGTACTGAGAGCCTGTCCACATGAATACTTGTGCTTACTCATTATACTGAGTTATATCATGAATAACAAATTCTGCACTACTCGTAATATCCAAAAAATGGAAACAACCCAAATGTTTACCAGTGAATAAATGGAGAGACCAACTGTGGTACATCCATACAATGGAATAGTATTCCAGCATAAAAAGGAATGAAGTACTGATACATACAGGAGCTGGAATAAACCTTGAAAATAGTACGCGAAGTGAAAGAACCAGACACATTTTTCCTATTTGCATGAAACATCCGGAATAATCAAATACAGAGAAACAAAAAGTTGATTAGTGCCTGCCTAGAACTGGAGAGAGGGGAAATGGAGAGCGACTGCTAATAGATTCAGGGCTTCTTTGAGAGATGATGAAAATGTTCTAAAATTAGATTGTGGTGATGGTAGCACAACTCTATAAATACATTAAAAACTAGTGAATAGTACAATTTTTGAAAGTGAATTTTATGGTGTGTGAATTATATCTTAACAAAGCTGTTATTTCTAAAAATGTACACTGAGTTTCCATTTATCTATCACTCAGTAGAATGAGGACAGGCTGGTGTGGCCCAGTAGAATCAGCATTGCACCTCGAACCAGAAGGTCAGCGGTTCAAACCCACCAGCTGCTCCTCAGAAACCCTATACAGGGTCACTGTGAGTCAGAACAGACTCCACGGCACTTAACAACAAGAATAAGAGAATGAGTCCGGAGTCCTTCCTGGTATAGGTTTGTAGGATAAGTACTAGACTGCTAACCACAAGGCAGGAGGTTCAAACCCACCAGTCACTCTTTGGAAATCCCACATAGGGTCGCTATAAATCAGAACAGACTAGAAGGCACTTAAAAACAATAACAACAGAATGAGTAAAATCAAAAAGACTCAAAACACCAATGTTGGCAAGGATTTAAAATGATACTATTGATCAGAGTATAAATCGGTGGTAGTGGTGTTAGATGTCATCAAGTCCCAAGTTGGTTCTGGCTCAAAGTGACTCTACGTGCAACAGAACAAAGCATTATCAGTCCTGTGTCACCCTCACAATTGTTCCTGTGTGTCAACCCATCTCATTGAAGGACTGCCTCTATTTCCCTGAACTTCTACTTCACCCTCTCCACGGACTGGTTCCTCCTGATGAAATGTCTAAAACTGTTTGGAAGTTTTTCTAAAGTTAAATACATATTCACTATGACCCACTGGGAGTCCTGGTGTGGCGCTGTGGGTTAATATGCTAGACTGCAAGGTCGGTTTGAACCATAGGGTTGGTGGTTCAGGCTCACCAGCCGCTCCTTGGAAACCCTATACGGGGCCACTATGAGTCAGAACTGACTCAACGGCACACAACAACAACATGACCCATTGATTCAACTGCTAGCTATTTAATCAACTGAGGTGAAAAAGCATATGATGCACAAGACATGTACAGGAATGTTTACAACACCTTATTCAGAACAACTGAGAAACAGGAACCATCCAAACGCCCAGAAACAGAAGAATGTACAAAGAAATCGTGATACATTTATACCATGTAATACTACTAGCAATTAAGAACAGGCGGATAGCTGTAACAGGATACCTGATCAATCTCAAAATGGAAAGCCAGAGCTACTTCCGGCTCTAGGCCTAGGGACTGAGTAAGGCTAAGTGCCCACAGGCAAGAGACTGGCTTTGAAGAATGTACCCTTTGGGCATTCACAGACTGGCTAAAGAACTTTGTAACAAATGTTCAAGCAGGGGAGAGGTCAGGGGACCTCATGGCTGAGAGATGGAAAACAAGAGTGAGGCACCCTGCAGTATGGCAGACAATTGGTTTTGACCCTGAATTATAGCCTGTTCACTTCCCTAATAAACCCCATAATCGTGAGTATTGTTATGAGTACTTCTGTGTGGTCACTGCAATGGATTGTTGAACCCAGATGTAAAGCAGCGAGTGCTTGCGGGAGGGATGACTGGTGTCAGAATTGGGTAAGGAAGGTTAGAGGGTAGAAGCATGTCCTACCTCCACTTCCTAGGAATCGGACTAGGGCTGATTTTGAGTTTGATTCTCCTTCCCCCTTATAAAGTCAGGGGAAATCAAACATGGCACCCACATGGTTTTTGCAAAGGTCTTCCTCTTTTTTACTGACCTCCTATTTTACCAAGGACAGGTCCCTCCTGATGAAATGTCCAAAATTTTTTGGAAGTTTTTGATAACGTTAAGTAGGTATTCACTATAACCATCAATTCAACTTCTAGTTATTAAATCAAAAGAAGTAAAAAACATATGACCACGAGACCTGTACCAGAATGTTTATAGCACCTTATTGACAACAGCCAGGAAATGGAAACCAACTGTGTCCACGAACAGAGAATGGATAAAGAAACTGTGATAATTTTATACCATGGAATGCTACTCAGCATTAACAACAGACCGAGATGCAGCACCATAAATTAATCTCAAATTCAAATATTTCTCAATCTCAAAATAAATATCTCTTCTAAATTACTTATGGGCAAAGCAATAAGATGGCTGAGATTTATTTAAAATAATACAGAATAACAGTAACAAAAATGGGGTCTGATAAAACAAGATTGGCATGTTGATAAATGCTGAAGCTAGGGTTGACACTATATTTCTAGTTTTATGTATATTTGAAAATTCTCAAAAGGAAAAGTCAAAATAAATAAATGAATATTTCTTACTATAGTTATGTGGCACTAGTTCCAGGTTCTTGGGTGTTTTCAACTTGTAGGATACATCTCCAATATTAACTGTCTCACCTGTAAAGAGAATAAGAAAAGCATAAACATTATAAGAGATAAATAAGAAAACCGCAGTGTCTCTCCAAGCTATGACTCCTGACCATCAAAGAGAATTTTTATTGTAAACTGCCATCAAATAATTGAGTCAATTCCAACAAATTCTGGGAAAGCAGAGAGAGGTAATCTGCCCTCAAGCAGACTGCACTTGAAAGTGCATTCCCTAGCCAGGCCAAAGAGGGGCCAATTCATCCCCAGGGATTCGCCACCCCCCATGCCTTTAACGGGAATTAGAGTACCAGGATCACATGATTATGAGTCATATCCTGATCAATGTGGTCAGGCGCCCAGAACCAATTCTGTAAACTTTTTGAATCTGTAATAGTGTACAGATCCCCCGCCCCTGCTTCCACAGTCTGGCCAGAAATTGTGAAGAATGATCTGCCACCAATCATGACTTGGGACTAAATTCCTTTGTTAACCATGGATGTAAATCCTTTGGACACCATTATGGCCTCATGTGGATGGTCTCCCTCATCCAGAAGATCTGTCTCTGCCTTTGTCCTGCTTAAGGTTGTCTCTATAATATATGTTTGAATGTGGGGTCTTGTCTCACCTACAAAACAACGTAGAGCTTTCATGTCCCAGAAAGGATCGTGTTACCCTCCCAGGTGTATCAACATCTAGACTAGCCATGAACCCCAGGGAACTTCTGTGTCCAGAGTCTTTATAGGGGCTCCATTTCACAGGCATGGTTGAGATTTTCTTCAAGCATGTTCTCCCCTCCCCAGTCTCTTTCTGAGGGTAGCTAAAGTCATGAGATGGGTTTTCGGGTTGTGAGAAACATCCGTACAGACAAACACTCAAGTAATTCAACCTGTACTCATTTTAGCATGAGAGAGGTTTCCTTTATTTGATTTTGTAAAATCAGGCACCCAACTCAATAGACATGGGCAGATGCACCACATGGCCGGCCTGCAAACAATTTAATTCCCCTGTCTTGTAAAAGCCCCTCCTTCAGTTCTCCTGCCACTGGGTATTACAAGGTCACATTCTCCTCCCAAGGTCATCTACTAGTCCTTACTGGGAACATTGTCATTTAAAGTTAGTTCCCCCTTTCTCCATGAACTTCCCCTATTTCCTTGACAGTTGTATTCTTATTTTAAAGTTCCTAGCTGGTCAAAATAGTTCTTCACCTCCTTTTGTTATCCTAGCCTGCTACCCACAAGACTTCCTTTAGTCCTGTAGATAGACCAGGCCTACCAGAGTTATTTCTCACAGGGTCATCTCATTAACATGAAATCTCATTGTGGTCCAGAGGCCTATAGATAACAAAGGCACCTCAATTATTCAGGACATCCCAAGAGTTTGTAGTTATTTCTCAGGAACCAAGGACAAAGATCAAATTACTTTTGATAAAGTTAGAATAAACTGTGCTGGAACGGATCAAAATGTGCTGCACATCTGTCTGTGTCAGGCACCTGAGCCTCTGCTATGAGACTTCTACCCAGAGTATAAGTTATATAAAACAGCAATGAGGCATCGGGGAAAGTCACGTTTTAAATGCTAGCTAAAAGAAAAAGATAACAGTCCAACCCAATATATTATCCAGCTATTCTTTCATTAATATGTAACAGTGCTAATAGAGTCAACGATATAAAAAGATGCACATTGTTTAAGATGATTCAAAGCATCAATAAGGTGAAATTGTTAACATATTTCTTCACTCCAATTTTTACATCTTTTGTTGTTGTTATGTGCCGTGGAGTCAGTTCCAACTCATAGCGACCCTGCACAGGGTTTCCGAAGCTGTAAATCTTTACAGGAGCAGAAAGCCTCATCTTTCTCCTGCAGAACAGCTGGTAGTTTCGAACTGCTGACCCTGAGATTAGCAGCCCGATTTGTAACCACTATGCTACCAGAGCTCCTTCATCTTTACGGGTCCTTATTTTCACTATACACAATTTCAAGTTTTCCAGAAAACTATCCAAAAGTTCAATATTCCTAGCTGTAGCAAAAGGCCAAAGCCCTGTTGCCATATATGCCACAAATTCCTATATGAAACAAGCAGAGCAGAGCAAAAAGTTCTCAGTAACTTCTAAAAGGTTCTAATTCTTTTAAAATAATATTAATATATGGCTAATCTTCTAAAATATGAAATTAGATGCTAACTTGAACAGTAGTCTTTCTATGCTTCACTCTCTCCAATAGCAAAATAGGCATGTTGATACCATCTGCACTTGGAACTACATTTGGAAAGAACTCAAAGATGACACACAGAGAAAGTAGCTGTGGAAAACACATCTTTCAGCATAGCCAGTAGAGAGTGAATGAGGTGGGCTGGCGTACGGAGGACTAAAGCCTTAAATCAGAACAATAGCAATAATAACAGAAAACACTGCTGAATGCTCATTATCTTCTAAATATTTTACACATTCCCAAAATTACCCCTGTGAAACAGAGATTTTACAGATGAGGAAATTTATAAATCTGTGAAAAAGAGTTTTTGTAGATAAAGAAATTTATTATACATGTGATAAATTGAGAGAAAGACAAATTAGAAAGACGTACAAAACTCGATTGTTGCTGGGTCCAAAATTAGCAGCCAGAATAAGGTCAGGCAAAGTGCATTATGGGCTGTAAACTACTCCACAATCTATCATCACCATCATGCCCCTTCACTTTTGGGCTGTGACAAAGGCTAGTTGTTGGACCAGTGGCATCAGCATCACTTGGGAACTTGTTAGAAATGCAAATACTCAGGCCACAACCTCCACTAGTAATCTGTGTGGAGTTTTGTGTGCTGCTATGATGCTGAACTCTGGAGCTCTGGTAGCATAGTGGTTATGAATCGGGCTGCGAACTACAAGGTCAGCAGTTCGAAACTACCAGCTGTTCCATGGGAGAAAGTTGAGGCTTTCTGCTCCCGTAAAGATTTACAGCCTTGGAAACCCTGTACAGGGTCGCTATAAGTCAGAACCGACTCCATGGCACATAACAACAACAATGATGCTGAACTAGGGTCAACAGAGCTTCCAGGCTAAGTCAGACAAGGAAGTAAGGCCTGGAGATACACTTCTAAAAATGAGTCAATGATCTAATCCTGCTGAGCATGGAGCTGCTGTGACTCTGGGATTAACTCAGGAGTAACTAACACCACCTCCACCACCTTTAGAATCCAAAATTGTCTCAACAAGTCCTCTAGGTGATTTCTAATGCAATCCTGAGAATCACCAGTCATTGAGTTCCAATCTCATCAGATTCCCCTACATAGTACAACCCTCCATACTTCAAGATACTGACTGACTGATTAAACTACCCTGTGTTCCTTAATGCAGGAAAGACCTACGATACACCTAACTATCGACCTAAATATAACTCCTTACTCCTACCTACCCCCAAAAAAGAAGCATCAGATAGTGGGCAAAATATGAGAGGTTGTGCTCTTAAAAAAAAAAAAAAAAATTAGAAAAATATTGGGACATGTTTATTATCTTGAACTGCTAACCACAAGGTCAACAGTTCAAACCCACCAGCTGCACTTTGGAAACCCTAAACAGGGTCACTATGAGTCAAAACCGACTTGACAGCTCTTAACAAAGAGAAGAGACCAGATCTGTCATAGTGACACCTTTAACCTCTGTGAGAATGAGTTCCAAAATGGTGACAGTAAAACATCTAAAACTATGTCAGAGTTAGCATCCAAATCATTGTGCCCACTTTTTATTTATTTTTTGTCTATAAAAAGGCATATTTTATCTCAGTTGATTTCACAAGATAAGTTAAAGCCTACATACAAGGTTCCCAGTCAGTAGAAAATTTCAGGTGAAGACCGCCTGCTAACAGAAGGCAAGCCATCACTGTTTTCTAGGGCCCCTTTTGTTTAAGGTCAAATCCTGAAGTAAAAATTGCAAACCAAATTATAAAAACATTTGCCAGCAAAGTAGAATCACTGTAAAAAACGCAAGTATAATTTCCAATACAGAAAGCACATATGCAAGTTCATTGTATAAATCAAAGGAATTGTCCTCTGAATTGGTCTAGAGATCTGCTAATATTTATTGAGGAGGACTGGTTATGTGGCAAATAGTTAGACACATTATCATTCGAGTGAAGTGCCGTTGAGTTGGTTTCTACTCATAGCGATCCTGTATAGGGTTTCCAAGGAGCGGCCGGTGAGTTTGAACCACCGACCTTGCAGTTCAAACCGACCTTGCAGTCCAGTGTATTATCCCGCAGCACCACACTAGGACTCCACACATGGATGTATGTTATTTCATTTAATCTTGTCTCTAAGCAACCCATGGTTCGTTCCTTTGAGCTATTTCTCTAACTGCTATACAGAAGCCCGATCTCAAACTAGCTGTATAAATGCCTCCTGGGGTTTCTGTGGCAGTAGTTCTATGAAACACTTCATGAGAACCATGGGTTGTTCAGAGGTCTTGGCTCAAAAAAGAGTATAGAAGGTAACCGGAAACACAAAGTCACAGCCCATGAGAAGCATACTGAGATATTGTCACTGCCATCACTAAAGCCACACCATGAGACACCACTTTCAGTGGGTAACATTTCACCCAATTTTTTTATTTTGATAAAAGGGGACTTCAAAAAGTTCATGGAAAGGTAGAATAAAAAGATACTGGATTTTTTCCACCCCCAACTTTTAGAACCTGCTCATATTTTTCAAAACTACAGAAAAGCTGGGAGGAAATGCTAAAATGAACACATATATTCTTCATCTGTGAACACTGTGACACATTTGTTTACTCTCTTTAAATAAACATATATGAGTTTTGTGTTGTAAAAATCATGGTTCTTCATATGTAGTCTAAAGGCATCTCAATGCATCTTATAACAAAGGACACTTTTCTACATGAACATAAGACCAACATGACAGCTAAGAAGCTTGTCTGTAGCCTTTTGGATGTGGGATCCCTGCACTGTGAAGCTCCTAGGTCCAGGAGCAGATTGATGCCAAGATACATGGAGATCTCCAAGGAACACTGGGTCCTACTGATGTT